CCTCTCGACATGGACGTCTTGTCGTCCACGGCGATAATCCATTGCAAAAAATTCCACAAAGAGCACACGCGCGCGTTCATGTCAGAATCCTACCGAACCCCGTGTGTTTGCAAGCATTTCAACATAAAAACATCAAAAACCCAATGTTTTTTTTCCACAAAAGTTGTACAAATTTCCCGCCCGGGCTCTCTTGCTGAAATCATAGGAAAACCATAGGAATCTTAAGAATTCGGTCAAATCCAACGATTTCACGTCATCGCGCGGTGCACTCGCAATGCTCTGTCATGCACCCAGGCAGCGAATCCTGTGCAACAAATACCACAAAGAGCACACTCGCGCGTTCATGTCATAATCCTACCGAACACCGTGTGTTTGCAAGCATTTCAACATAATTACTCCGACGGAAGGACCCCACATGATAATCTGTTTAGCTTTCCCTTATCCCTTTCCTCCCGGCCATGGCAAACACCCTCGTATCGCCCTCTCCTCTGCCATCTTTTCCTCTTCTTCTATTTCCCCCCCCCCTCCTTCTCCTCCTCCTCCTCCTCCTTTTCCACCTCCTCCTCATCATCGCCCTCCCCATACCCCTTCCGTCCTCATCCTCCTCCTGCCTCTTTTCCACGTGCACGTCCCTTCCCCCCCGGTCGGGGGAAGCAAGTCGATTTTCCTCGGCGCCGTCGCCGCCTCGGTCAGAACGCGCGCGTTTGCCGACGGCCAGATCGCGAAGCCGTCGGGTCAACCCTTCGGGCCAGCCATGCCCGCGGGGCACTCCCGCGGGCCGCCGGGGCGCGAGGGCAGGCCGTCGGGGCAACCCCGCGGGCCAGGCCGTTGGGACAGCCCCGCGGGCCTCCTCGCGCGCGCCGCGGCGCTCAGGCGGGCGGCAGCACGAAGCCCAGCTCTGCCGCGAGCTGCTCCGCTTCAGCCCTGGAGTCCACCGCTCTCTCGTCGAACTCCTGGAGCGCCTTCCGCAGTGACGCCGGCGGCCCGCGCTCCAGGAACACTCGCGCGGGCGGCCGCAGGATCAGCATGTTCCGCATGCACGTGGCGCGGGAGAACATGACGTAGAGGTGCAGCCACCACATCTCGTCCGACATGCCCGTGCGGCCAGCGTCCGCATCCCTGGCGCAGTCGATGGTGACGCCCTTGCGCAGCGTCTGGCCCTGCGACAGCGTGGAGGTCAGGTAGGACGCGTGCGTCAGCGTGAATCCCGAGCGGCGCACAGCGTGCGCCCCCGAGCTCTGCCACGTGAACTCCTGCTCGCTGGGCCTGAACATGAGCAAGCTCCTCGCCCGCGCCTGGGCCTCGCCGTCGTCGTCAGCGCCCTCGGCGCCCTGCAGCAGCACCTCGGCGACCTCCTTGTAGATCGGGGACTCCTGGAAGCCGTGCACCTGCAGCCAGATTCCCTGCGGTAGGAAGCGGGGGCAGAAGAGCTGGCCCGGCGCGCACTCCTCGTAGTCCCGCTCGTCGTCTGCGTGAAACTCGAAGGACACGATGGTGGCCCGTTGCTCCTGCACGAGCCCCAACTTCTTCTTCTGCTCCTCCTGCACGGCCGTGAACCGGACCTCCATGCCGACGTGTGCCGGTAAGACGCCGTGGATGTCCCCCGTCTTGTGCATGTTCGGGACGTTCAGGAGGCGCCGGCCTGCGTCTGGTTCGCCTTGAATCGTGCCGCACTCGTCTACGGCCTGCAGGAAAACGAGGGGGACGCCGAGGCGCCGCGCGTCACGACGAGCGCGCGTGTTGATCCACCTCGCCAGCGTCTCCCAGTAGATGCCCATGCCGTAGCCGAGCCGAAAGTTCTCGTGCTGGTGCCGAGGGTCCAGGACGCCGTGGTTGTCAGAGGCCAACGTCTTCTCCCAGGCAGACCAGACCTCTGGTGGGAAGCGCTTGCCCTCGCGCATGCAGCCCAAGAACGCGATCAGAGGGTCCCCCGGCTCGAAGCGCTTCGTGCCCTTCAGCTCGAAGACGCAGGGGATCTGAGAGAATACCCTGATGGCGCGCTGGATCTCCACCGTCGGCGTCTCCGCGTACTTGTGCGACCCGTCGTCCAGGAGCTCGTTCACGTCCGTCAGGAGCCCGATGCTGCTGGTGGGCTTCAGCTGCAGGAAATCCCCGAGGTGCAACACGATAAGACGCGGTCGAAGTGGTGGTGCGGCCTCTTGTAGGTGGACTCCTGCACGTCGTGCGTGTCACTGCGCCCGTGGCAGGCGCGGAGGTCCAGAGCGTTGTACAGAGCAGCTGCCACCATGCTCACCTCCTCGATGACCAGGACGCGGACGTGCTCCCACAACCATTGCAATCTCTTCTGCATGCTCCCCGGTCTCATCTTCGCGTTGATGTACTTCTGGACTCGCAGGGCACAGGCGTTGTGCAGCGTTCTGGCCTTCACCGTCTCCGTGGAGATGTTCTTCGCCTGCGCGTTCGAGAAGGCCACGACCATCATGGCGCCCTTGTCCTGCGCCGACGAGGGCCACAAATACTCCACCACTGGGAAGACGATCTTCTGCACCACGCGCGTCTTCCCCGAGCCGCCCTGGCCCAACAGGAGCAAGTGCGTCACTTTTCTCTCGCTCCAGGGCTTCTTCTGCACGTCGTCCTCCCAGGCGTCGTCGCAGGCCTTGGCGAACTTGGCGACGAAGAGCGTCTGGTCCCGCGTGAGTCTCTCGTTCTCCGGCAACCCAGCGACCAGGGCGGCGATGTACCCTGCGGATGACGAGCAAATTCACGCCCTGGGAGCCCAAAAGTCACGACAGTTACAGGATCCCGATGACCCGCCTCGGATTAGTAAGATGATCTGCGGGCCCCATAGGGAGAGGCTCCCGCCTGAGACTTCCTCGCAATTCACTCACAGACGAGGCTCCCGCTAGATACTTCCTCCAGATTCACGCCCCAGGAGCCCAAAAGTGACGACAATTACAGGATCCCGATGACCCGCCTCGGATTAGTAAGATGATCTGCGGGCCCCATAGGGAGAGGCTCCCGCCTGAGACTTCCTCGCAATTCACTCACAGACAACGCTCCCGCCTGATACTTCCTCCAAATTCACGCCCCAGGAGCCCAAAAGTGACGACTGTTACAGGATCCCAATGACCCGCCTCGGATTAGTAAGATGATCTGCGGGCCCCATAGGGAGAGGCTCCCGCCTGAGACTTCCTCGCAATTCACTCACAGACGACGCTCCCGCTTGATACTCGAGTGAGTGACGGACTGACTGAGTGATGTGTGACGCCAACGGATGATATCCTCATGTGACGATCATGATGAGTGAGTGAGTGAGTGAGCGATCGAGTGGTGTATGGGTAAGTGTGATGGTGCTGAGGAGGAGAGGCGTGGGTCATGATGATGATGACTGATGATGATGATGGCGAGAAAGAGGAAGAGAGAGAGAGAGAGGGTGTGAGATCCTGCGCGGGGGGTGTGCAGAGGAAACAAGAACCCCACTTTGGATGTGGGGAAAAACATCAAAAACCCAATGCTTTTTCACAAAAGTGCTTTGGGGTGTCCTGTCAGACCGTCGGGCTTCCTCCGGCCACCTCTGGCTTCCTGCGGTGTACCGGGCCATTCTCGACTCGTCTGGCAATGCGTGCGCGGCATTCAACACGCGCTCGCCAGTTCCCGTCGGCAACCGCCATAGCGGCCGCATCAGCTGTACCAAACCGGCTGGCCGGTGTGACTTCGGCCCCCAGTTGTGCCAGCTTTGCTTCTAGTTGTGAGGGCGTGGGACTGGGCAGCCATGCTTGACTCGCCTCGTGCTGGCTAGCATGACAACTCCAACTCCCTACTCCTACTACCCTACACCTACACCTAACTCCAACTCCTACGACTACGACTACGACAACAATATTACTACTACTACTACTACTACTACTGACTACTACTACTACTACACTACTACTACTACTACTACTACTACCACTACTAACTACTACTACTACTGCTACTACTACTACTACCACCACTACTACTACTACTACTACTACTACTACTACTACTACTACTACTACTACTACTACTACTACTACTACTACTACTACTACTACTACTACTACTACTACTACTACTACTACTACTACTACTACTACTACTACTACTACTACTACTAAAACAACTACTACTACTACTACTACTACTACTACTAATACTACTACTACTACTACTACTACTACTACTACTACTACTACTACTACTACTACTACTCCTATCCTTATTCCTTATTAGAATATACTCCTACTCCCCCCTCAGGCCGGCAGATAGGGGCCCCATCCGGGTGGTCCCATCCTAACCTGTAAAAAACAATACGAAATCAACATTTGTCTTATTTTATCCTCTCGACATGGACGTCCTGTCGTCCACGGCGATAATCCATTGCAAAAAAAACCACAAAGAGCACACGCGCGCGTTCATGTCAGAATCCTACCGAACACCGTGTGTTTGCAAGCATTTCAACATAAAAACATCAAAAACCCAATGCTTTTTCACAAAAGTTGTACAAATTTCCCGCCCGGGCTCTCTTGCTGAAATCATAGGAAAACCATAGGAATCTTAAGAATTCGGTCAAATCCAGCGATTTCACGTCATCGCGCGGAGCACTCGCGATGCTCTGTCATGCACCCAGGCCGCGAATCCTGTGCAAAAAATACAACAAAGAGCACACTCGCGCGTTCATGTCAGAATCCTACCGAACACCGTGTGTTTGCAAGCATTTCAACATAAAAACATCAAAAACCCTATGCTT